CTTGTGAGAAGCTTCCTTAGGATGTATTTATAAAAAATCTTAATACATGTATTGAATGTGATACTACTAATGGATTTAGATTAGGTTTAGATTAAAAATGCACATTGTGTTATTAACTTTGCTCCTTATGTAATCCTAATAGATTAACATAATGTTTTGTTTGTGAGGGAAGTAAATTAGTAAGTATTGATGGTAGTTGTGTAGATGAATGTCCTGAAGCTAGTTATTATTCTGACAGAAGAAAAAATGCTAAGAATGTTCTATAGGATGTTAAAAATGTAATTATACTGGTTGTAATTAATGTTATGATGGTTATTATGTTTATTATGAAAATAAATCTTGTTTATAATGCATTTCTTTATATCCTTATTGTCAATCCTGTGATATTCATTAATGTAATAAATGCATCAATGGATATTAACTAAATAAAACAAAAAAAAAATGTAAATAAATAAATTTAGAGGGATTAACTGATGAAATTGCTGAAACATAATGCCCTGAGGGATGCGAGAAATGTTTTTTATCTGGAGAGTGTTTAGAATGTAAAGCTGGTTTTTATGAAAATAAAGCAAGTAAATAATGTATTAAATGCAGAACTAAATTCAGAAATTGTAATAGATGTACTGAAACTAGTTGCAATAATTGCATTTATGGATTTTAATATAATGAGTTATAAAAATAATGTTTATAAATCCCTATATCAGATGAAAATACTGAAATAGAATGCCCTTAAGAATGTAAGAAATGTTCTTAATTTGGAAAATGCTTAGAATGTTAAAATGGTTTTTATTAATATTCGGTTAAATAAACAAGTAATAAAACTATTAAATGTGTTAGTTGTAGTATTAAATTCAGTAAATGTGGTTCTTGTACTCCAAATATTTGCTTAAAATGTTTTGTTGGATATGAATATTATGATTACGAAGATATATGCATTTAAGTTAATGAAGATGCTAATTTTTGCAATCAAGGATGTACTTTATGTGGCTAAAATAGTATGTGCTTAAAATGTAATGATGGCTTTTATTAAGATTTTACATATATATAAAATTTTAAATATAAAGTTTGTTACTAATGCAGTATTAAATTCAGTAATTGCATAAAATGTGATTCAATTTAATGCATAAACTGTAATACTGGATATAATTTAAATAATTCTTCCAAATAATGCGAAAAAATTCCGCCTTCTAGATTTTTACATTATGTTTAAAGCTATAATTAATAATAAAATAGTAAATAAGGAGTAGTTACTTTTGTGATTTCTATTTTTATATTTGGATTATTATTGTGATCATTTTTCAAAAAAGCAAATTAATGTTTTTTAATATATTTTAACTTGTATTAGAATATTTTTTTAGTTTGTAATATATTTAAAGTTAATTTTTTTTATTTATTGCTTCAATATTTTTTTACAAATGTTAAATATATATATATTTTAACTTTTAAAATAAATTTATTAATATAATAGCTAGTATTATTTTACTTTGTTATATTTATATTTCTACTTATTTATTAATTTATATTATTATATTTATATTTTTATTAAAAACTACGACTTACATCAATCATGAAAACTATATTTTTTAATATATTTAAAAAATGAATTTCATTATAAACTAAAATTGATTATAAATCTTCTTTTAATAATATTAAAATATTTTAATGACATAAAATTTTATAATATTTATAAACAAATATTTAATTATTAATTAATATTAATATTTAAAATTTATTCTTGAATATAAAATATTTTTATTTCTTTTTGCATTTTAGATTTTTTTAAAATTTGATTATTTATAAAATATTAAATTAGATTTATTTAAAGTTTTATTTTATTTTTAATAAAATTTCTTTAGATATAATTTAAGTCTTTTATTTAAAATTTTTAAAATTTTAAATATATTAATTTATATTAATTAATTAATTAGAAAATAGAAATGAAAAAGTATAATTTCTACAAATTATATCAGGAAAAACAATTATCATATTATTAGAAAATAATAATAAGAATTAATTTTTTATATTTTAATTTAATAATAATTAACTAAAGACTATTTAGGATATATTGTATATACCGGCATTAATATAAAACTCTTAAAAAAATTATATATCAATAATAAGATAAAAAAATAATAGTATAAGAGTTTATAATAATAAATAAATAAAAAATAAAAAGAATAAAATGATTTTGTTATAATTACAAAAATACTAAAAAATTACATAAATAAATAGTACTAAAATTATATAAATGAATTAATGGCACATTAAATTTAAGCAAATGTTAATAATTGATAAAACAATAATAAATAATTGATTATAAAATCATAATAATAATAAAAAAACAAAAGAAAATATATAAAAAAATAAGATAATTTGCTAATAATAAAAAAATAAAATATTTTATTTTGAATAAAATTTATACTAAATATTAATAAAATATGGTATAGAAAAAACTAATATTTGAAAATATTTTATTAAAATATTTTAAAATGAAAAATTATATTATTGATAAATAATTAAAAATTAATAAAAAATTAAATATAAATATTTTGTATAATTAAAGTAAAATAATTTATTATATTTTCTATATTAAGAAAGTGATAAATTAGTTTATGTAATATAATTCATAGATTTTTCAATTTCAATATCTTAATTTTAAATAATAAAATAAATTAATTAAATTTTTTGGTAATCGAAATAATATAAATTGTCATATTTTTATTTATCTATAAAATATATTAATTAATTTTTTAAAGTAATAAAAAAATATTATAATAACGAGAAAGGCATAAATAATCAAAAAAATATAATTCATTGATTTATAATAAACTAAATAAAAAAAATTATAATTATATTTTTAAATCAATCATAAAATAAAAAATAAATACAAATATTAAAGTAAATAAAAAATATAAATATAATTATAAAAAAAATTAAAACTTTTAAGAATATATATAAAATAAAAATATATGAAAATTATAAAAAAAAAATAATTTCTTATTTAAATTAAATATAAATATATTATTTTTGTTAAACTTTATATTTATAATGAAATGTATGTTCTAGATAAATAAAATAGAAATAATAATAATATTAATAATATTATTAATAGTAAAATTATATTAATAAATATAA